AATCTCTCAGCCATATATATATATATATATATATATAAGTTAAAAATTGAGACCACTTAAAAAGTTTAAAATGTACTCAATTTTAACACCTTCAATTTCAAAAAATAAAATAAGTCATCCTTAAACCATTCAATCCTCTTAAATTCTTCATAGCCTTAATAATACTAATCCCACATAAAGCTTCTTTACATTCATAGCATCTCTAATCTTTAATCAAGACCCAATATAATTACTGAATATTAAGAGGTTAATACCAAAAAATAATCTCTATAATCCCAAACAAACACTAAATCTATCTATAAATTACTTAATATGAGTAAAACATAAAATATATACTTTAAAAACTATAAATTAAAAATATTATGTTGATTAAGTAATTTTAACTAAACTATATACATAGCCTTGTTCTTTAAATATTTGACTCCGGGAAGGAAGTTTTGGGTTGAGAATGAGCTAAGCCTGAATTAGTTAGTCGGTGCGTTGGCTTGGCTGGTATCCTCACTTTTCATGGACAGCTCGAACTAACATCTTGCGTCAAGAAAATAGCAGAGGTAAACGGTATACATGCACCACTAGATGTTGTTGATAGGCTAACGGAAACTTTAAACATGTTTATGATATTTCAGCTATAGGAGTGTTGAATTGTGCCCTTGAGTTCTGCTAGACACGAGTACTGATACTATTTCTTGAACAATTAAGAACAAATTGGTAGAAAAGACAGTCAATTTCACCCAACATTAAATGTTGAGAAAAGTGCACTTTTAACCAATTAACATGAGGACATGGTGCAGAACTACTATTTGTTTTATTCCCTACAAATTGGAATCATTTGATAGTATCATGGCATCTCCATCCCTAGGAAAAAAATTAAAGATTGATTGATGTTTGAAACTTGGAATATAGGAGAGAATCCGATTCAGTGGATCCGTACTCTTTATTCTATTAAGGATGTCTTTGGTGAAAAGTAGCCATTTTTAGAAAAATTTTATTAAGCAATTAATTAAAAATTGTATAAAAGAATTATTAAATTTTATAATAAAATTTCATTAGTATTTTGTTATATTTGATAAGAAATATATCTCGTGAAAATTGTTAAGTAAATTCATATAAGTAAAGTTGTAAAAACCTTTCATTAAAGTGTGAAGAAAAATTTATAAATTGACAATTATATTAAGAAAAATAAAGGCAGAAAATCCTCACTTTCATTTTTGTGTATAAGTACCAAAATATCACACAAAATCCTAAAACAAGGCATTTCATTAGAAAGTAAACAAAAGGGTTAAAACAACTGTTGAGTGTCACACACACATATATTGGAGAGAATCGAAGATA